GTCCCACTGCTAACATTACCAAACTCCACCACCAGAGAGCCTTCTTTTTTTTTTTTTTTTTGAGACAGTCTTGTTCTGTCACCCAGGTTGGAGTACAGTGGCACAATCTTGTCTCACTGCAACCTCCACCTCCCAGGGTCAAGCAATTCTCTTGCCTCTGCCTCCCAAGTAGCTGGGACTACAGGCACCCACCACTATGCCCGGCTAATTTTTTATTTTTAGTAGAGATGGTTTCACCATATTGGCCAGGCTGGTCTCGAACTTCTGACTTTGTGATCTGCCCACCTCGGCCTCCCAAAGTGCTGTGATTACAGTATGAGCCACTGCACCAAGCCCAACCCAGAGTGCTGACTTTTTTTTTTTTTAAGGCGGAGTTTTGCTTTCGTTGCCCAGGCTAGAGTTCAATGGCACGATCTTGGCTCATCAACCTCCATCTTCTGGATTCAAGCAATTCTCCTGCCTCAGCCTCCTGAGTAGCTGAGATTACAGGAATGAGCAACCACAACTGGCTAATTTTTGCATTTTTAGTAGAGATGGGATTTCCCCATGTTGGCCAGGCTGGTCTTGAACTCCTGACCTCAGGTAATCTGCCTGCCTCAGCCTCCCAAAGTGCTGGGATTATACCACACCCAGCCCAGAGTGTCTTCTTTACGAAGAAAACACACTTCAGAGCTACAGAACACTTCTTGACTCACTATTCTTTTGGAAAATAAAAAGTACCCTGGCCAGGCACGGTGGCTCAGGCCTATAATCCCAGCACTTTGGGGGGCTGAGGCAGGCAGATCACTTGAGGCCAGGAATTCGAAATCAGCCTGGCCCACATGGCAAAACCCCTGCCTCTACCAAAAATTACAAAAAATTAGGTAGGCTTGGTGGCATGCATATGTAGTCTCAGCTACTCTGGAGGCTGGGACACCAGAATCAGTTGAGCTGGGGATGCAGAGGTTACAGTGAGCTGAGATTCTGCCATTGCACTCCAGCCTCGGCGACAGAGCAAGACTCTTGTCTCAAGAAAAAAAAAAAAAAAAATTATATGTATATAAACACACACACACACACACACACACACACACACACATATGCCAAGTCAAGGCAGTTTTCATCCTTTCTATAATCTGAATTGGGCTCTCCATTTTTACTAAAATTCTTTCTTCTGTCAAAGTTGTAAATGCATGGCCTAAATGATTGCAGGCGCAGATCTTAGGGACTAACTGAAGATTATTATTTAAATGATCCCCTTTTTTCCTGGGAAAACATTTTTAAAATGTCATCCATTGACAAAAACATTGACAAAAAGGTGAGTAACTACAGATACCAAAAAACAATACTATTTTCCATAAGAGAAAAATCCCAAAATATAATTTAGATTAAAAATGGAAAGGCCAGGTGTGGGGTCGGGGGTTGGATCACACCTATAAACCCAGCACTCTGGAAGGCTGAGGTGGGTAGATCACTTGAGCTCAGAAATTCGAGACCAGCTTGGGCAACATGGTGAATCCCATCTCTACTTAAAAATACAGAAATTAGCCAGGTATAGTGGCATGTGCCTGTGGTCCCAGCTACTCGGGAGGCTGAGGCAGGAGAATAGATCAAATCCAGGAGGTGGAGGTTGCAATGAGTTGAGATCGTGCCACTGCACTCCAGCCTGGGCAACAGAGCAAGACACCATCTCAAAAAAGAAAAAGCTGGGCACGGTGGCTCACACCTGTAATCTCAGGACTTTGGGAGGCCAAGACAGGCAGATCACGAGGCCAGGAGTTCAAGACCATCCTGGCCAACATGGTAAAACCCCGTCTCTATTAAAAATACAAAAAAATTAGCTGAGCATGGTGGCTTACGCCTGTAGTCCCAGCTACTCAGGAGGCTGAGGCAGGAGAACTGCTTGAACCCAGGAGGTGGAGATTGCAGTGAGCTGAGATTGCATCACTGCACTACAGCCTGGGCGACAGTGTGAGACTCCATCTTAAAAAAAAAAAAAAAAAAGTTAGCACAGACATTATATACTAATTGCCAATTTTCAAATAAAATAAAATATACTCTAAGCCTACGTTGTCCAACATGGTAGCCACTAACCACTTGTAGCTATTTCGCACTGGAAATGTGCTAGTCTGAACTGACATGTGCTGTAAAATGCAAAGTGTCACCAGATTTACACCAGATTTCAAACAGTACCAAAAAATATATAGAATATCTCAATAGTGATTTATTCATATTGATTACACATTAAAGTGATATTTTGGATATGCTGAGTTAATAAAAAATATTGTTGGCCGGGCGTGGTAGCTCACGCCTGTAATCCTAGCACTTTGGGAGGCTGAGGTGGGTGGATCACCTGAGGTCAGGAGTTCAAGACCAGCCTGGCCATCACGGTGAAACCCCATCTTTAAAAAAAAATTTTTTTTTTAAATAAATAAAATAAAAAATATTGTTAAAATTAATACTTTCTCAACCTGTTTCATGCAGTTACCACAAAATTTAAAACTGCATTTGTGGCTTGCTTTAGATTTTTATTGGACAGTGCTACCCTACACAAACTGAAAATATGATCCAACTTTCCTTTAATGATTCATCATGATGATGAATACCAAATATATAATAAATTGAGAAAAATCTTATTTACATTTTGGATACACAGATTAACATATTACTAAGTGGCTAATGCCCTTTTCGGCCTTAGCCCACCTGCACCCAGGTGAATTAAAAATTAAAATTTAAATTAGAAAAGAGAAAAAAGATATTATCAAGTAAGAATGGCATTTCTGAAAACTCCTACTAAATTTACAACCAACTCCAGCTGTGTTAATAGAAGAAGGGCTCAGTCCCACAGGTAGTATTTTTAGAAAACACGAAGGAAATACAAAAGTAAAAGTCATAAAAGAGAGTCTAAGAGAAGTACCATATGTTTCTAAAAGGCAAACAAAAGCAATGTGTTTTAAACTGATAATAGACCTTTTTTTTTTAAAAAAAAAAAAAAAAAGGTATAGAATTTTGGGTTCTACTTTTTTAACCTAGCATTAAAGCAAAATATATTTAAGAAAAAAAAATTATATCAAATTTGAATATACTCTTCAAAGGTCTAAGTTTTAAAATTAAGTCCATTTGGATGTTGGGAAAAAAAAAAAAAAAAAGTATATTGTTTTGAGAAATTTGAAGAAATGTCCCAATTGCCAGCTAAATAAACTTGTTAAAAAGGAAACCTGTTAAGGTAGGAACTCAAAACTCTAATCACGTGGAATAGAAGTAAAATAACTGAATGAATCATATGGAAAATGTAAACCAAGTTTCTTAGCAGGATATTCATAATTAAATATTATACAATGAAGCCAACCAAAATTTTTCTAGATATATTTCAATGCCACCATAGTATGAATGCATCGATCGACTATTACAGGATTTAAGTAAAACTACTTTCAAAATTCTGAAACACCATAATGCCTTCCAAAATCTAGCCAGTGAGAATTAGAGAGGGAAGTTTCCTGCAACAGCTGGGGCTGCAAAAAATAAAAAATAAAAAAATAAAAATAAATAAAGGGAGGGACGTTTCCAAATGCCTTATTTTATAGAGATTAAAATTAAAAATTGAAAATTCAAAGCTATATTAACAATATCTGCATGACATTCTGTTCAGCAAGCATTTTTGGACCATCATCCTATCTGATCCTCAAGACAGCTCTCAGATATTGGTATATTTTTATCCCTACTTTGGAGGTAATTCCAGGCTCAAAGACCTTGACTTGTTCAAGGTCACATAGCTAAAAAGTGGGAGTACCAGTGTTTGACTCCAGATCTTCTGATGCTCATTCAATTCTCTTTCCATTACAAGACAATTATTCATTTAAAACCAAATATTTAGAAACCCAACAAGCCTAATGCTAAAGAAAGATCTAAGTATCAAGTAGATCAAACCTTAAGACTTGGAAAACACTGAAAACCAGCTACAAAACATGCTGAAATGAGTTAAAAAAGGGGAGAAGACATTATCAAGAGAAAGGAAATGAAAGGGGGTGGAATCTAATCGAAACGTCCTCGGTTGCAGCATACCAGAATAGCAATATTCAAGTAGAAAATGCAGAGAAATTGTGCTTTCCTGTGACATGTGATTTGCAAAGTAGTATTGTAGGTTATAAAACTGATTGTGTTACTTTACTATAAACGTGTTTGAGAATTTTACTTACTCCATAGGCACTCAGAAAACCAAAGCCTCCCCAACTGGGTACGATCAGTCCCACATTTTTTCCGTAAGTCACGATGCTTACCTCCCAAAAAGCCAATTTTTAAAAATCAGAATTCAGCATACCCTATTTAGATTACAGGTAAAGGGAAGGGTTGGTAGGACGATGGCAAATTTAATGGCCAATGTCTTTCCAGGCGAAAGCATCCTTAAGGGCAGGACAAAGGCACCGCCACTACAAACGAACCTCGTTCAACCTTCAGAACACGGAGAACAAACCACTTACAGCAAAACGAACCAAGACTGCAGACACGGGAAAAGGGAATTCCTAAGATGGCTCTGCAAATCCGTGCACTCGGCACCGTCCTCAGTAAACCGCGAAGGCCACGGGAACGCGGGCGCCGGGCGTGGGAACTCCGGGCGCGGGTGCCCACCCCAGCGACTCCCAGCGCGACCCCAGGACGTTCGTTTCAGGCGGGTCTCGGCTGAGCCACCCACGAGACCGGCCCCACCGTCCGACCGCGCGCCGGAGAAGCCGAGACGATGACCGGCCCCAAAAGCATCTGCTTCTCTCCCCGGAAGCCCCGGCGGCCCCGCGGCCGGGGAGGCCGAGCAGGAAGGGCCCGCAGGCGGCCCCCGCCCCGCGCTGACAGCCCGGCGCCGCCCCACCTGCCCGCCCGGGGGGCGCCGCGGCCGGGCGCGCCCGCCCAGCCACTTCCTTCCCCGCCCGCCCGGCCTCGCACCGGCCCGCGGGGGCCGGGAGCCGCGGGAGGAAGGCGGCTTGGCCGGCGGCCCACGGAAGAAGCCACCGCCGCCCGCCCGCACCCACCGGCATCATCGCGGCGCGAGTCCGCGGCGCCCCCAGCCGCCGCCTGACAGGACGCTCCGCGCTGAGCTGTGCCGGCCGCTCCGGCCGCCTTCTAAGGCCGCGCGCCCGCCGCCGTGCTCTCCGACCTGGCCGCGGCGAGGCGGCGGCTGCGGCGGGCTGCGGGGCTTTCGCGGGCCCTGTCGCGGCCGCGCTGCGTCGCTGTCCCGGGCACCCGGCCGCCGCCGCCGCCGCCTCAGCCCCAGCCCTACCGCCTCTGGCCCGCCCTCCCGCTCGCTCTTCAGCCCCCGCAAGCCCCGCCCCCAGCGCGACGCCCCGCACGGGTCCCGTCCTTCCCTCTGATTGGCCGGGAGGGCGCGGGGGCGGGGAAAGGGCGGGGCTTCCCGGCTCCGCCCGCCACCCTCGCTCTCGGCGGCGGCCAGGTGCGTGCGCGTCCGCGCTCCCGGCGGCGGGGGAGGGGCAGGCGCGTTGTGGGCTCCAGTGGCCGCCCCGGCCCCTGCGTGAGCCCCGAGTCCGGGAGACCGCGGACGGTGGGAGGACGGAGGCCCGACAGGGAAGGGTCGGGCCGGGTCCCGTAGCGGATCGCGGCAGGGCCGGGACTCGAACCTGGGCTCCCGGAGGTCGACGGTGGGCGGGGCGCGTCCCTGCGGCGACAGCGCGCGCCCGCGCTCTGACCGCGGCCTGACCCCCGCACCGGGCGCCCTGAGGCTGCGGCCCGGAGGCCGGTGGGAGGGGCGCGGGGGGCCCCCGAGAGCGGGCACGTGACCCGGCGCCCTCGGTCGGCGGCTGCTTCCCTGCCGGCGTCTTCTGCGGCTCCCGGGGCCGCGTCCCCACCCCCACGCCGGCTCCCGAGCCTTGCCTTCGCCCGAGCGAGCTCACTCCTAGAAGCCTGCGCCCACCTGCGCCCACCTGTGCTCACCTGCGCCAGCATCCCTCGGTGTCCAGCTCCAGCGTCCCCGGGCAGGGTCCGGACCCCGTCTCTAGGGCCCGGGTCTCCCCCTGCAGCCGGGTCTCCGGGGACGCCGCCCCCTCGGACCTGAGCGCCGAAGTGACAGAGCCCCGGGCAGGGCCCCGAGCAGACCCTCAGCAAAGGCTGCCAGGAGGGCAGGCAGCCGTTCGGGGCCCCCCACATGGTGCCATTCGCCCGGACCGCCGCGGAGTGCAGACCGGGGGGCTAAGGTGCTCCCCGCCACAGCACCGAACCCCCACGGGCACGAGAAGGGAAGGTCTGCGGATGGCCCCAGACACACAAGGCGTAAGCCGCCCTGGGAAGGGCCGGCTCTGTGGAGAAGGCCGCCGCGGGGTCAGGGTCAGTCTGGAGCCTGTCTGGCGCTCGGAGAGGCTTCTGGCTGCTGCAGAGCGGGGGCAGAGCAAGGGAGGAGGCCAGGGAGCTCCCACCAGCCCATTCCTGGGGAGCCACCCCTGTCCCTCAGAGGCCACTGGGGCTCGTGTTCGACAGTGCAGACTTTCCAGTTAGACAGACTTGGTTCAGCACCGCCTCTGTCACACCCTCGCCTGGGATCCTAAATAAGCCGCATCTTTTCTGCATTGTAGTGTGTTTGTATCTGTGATGGGAGAGTGTAGGGATGATAGTGCTTGCCTCGTGTCGGGAAGTGGGGGGGCCTGTTCGGATGCGAGGGCTGGAAAACTCCCAGCACAATTTGTGGCACGTGGTAGCTGGTCCATAGATAGCATTCTGTAGTGGGTGATTAGCAAGAGGCTTCGTATACAGACCTGGGATGCTGAAACCTAACCCACACCGGGGCATGGATGGCTAACGACACCCCTCTTCTGGGAGCAGGGTTTGGAGAGAGGAGGAAGCTCTACATAATCTAGATAATGAGCCGAGGCTGGAAGTTAGAGACATAACCCGAGTTCTAATTCCAGCTGCTCTGCTTCTGACCTCCTGTGGGGCCTTAGGCAACTTGTACTCCTCCTCTGGGCCTTGGTTTCCCCAGCTTTGACAGCTGATGTCCCTTAGTCACCAAGGGGCACGGCTGGCCCACGAAGTCTGACCAGGGACAGGTTTTGCCAAAGCTCTTCAGAGAGGTGCCCCCCTGGGGTAAATAAGCCTGCTCTCCCAGGAAGGGGCGCATTGGCAGAAGGGCCTCCCTCTTTCCTGCAGGACCTGTGGGCACAGACAGTGGCAGCTACCCTGCCTCACACCGAAACCCCCCTGTATCCTCCACGCAGGGGTCCATTTGAAGCAGGCTGGTCAGCTCCCCCTCAAGGCCTCCCTGCTGGTCCCACTCCTCTCCACCCAGCCTGCACTCCAGGCATCAGCCCATCACCTCCCACCTGGACCAAGCTCCTTTGTTACTGGTCCACTGCTCTACTCCACGCTCCCACCATTCCCCACAAGCTCCGGCCTTCCATCTTCCTGGAGCACAAATGGCCCCACCCCATAAAGCCCTCGTGCGTCTCCCCATTACCCAGACTAAAGTTTGCAAGAGGCCCATCAGGAATCGCCATTTATGGTGGAGTGCAGCGGCTCACACCTGTAATCCTGGTACTTTGGGAGGCCAAGATGGGAGGATTACTTGGAGCCAGGAGTTTAAGACCAGCCTGGTCAACATAATGAGATTCCCCCATCTCTTTAAAAAAAAAAAAAAAAAAAAAAGGCCAGGCACAGTGGCTCACACCTGTAATCCCAGCACTTTGAGATGCTGAAGTGGATGGATCATGAGGTCAGGAGTTCAAGACAAGCCTGACCAATATGGTGAAACCCCATCTCTACTAAAAATATGAAAATTAGCCAGGCGTGGTGGCAAGTGCCTGTAGTCCCAGCTACTCCAGAGGCTGAGGCAGGAGAATCGCTTGAACCTGGGAGGGGGAGGTTGCAGTGGGCCAAGATCACACCACTGTACTCCAGCCTAGGTGACAGAGCAAGACTCCATCTCAAAAAAAGAGGGATATAGGCATTAGAGTTATGGAAGAAAACGTCCATATTTTTCAGAGATGCATCCTAGCCTGTGTAAAGCGTCTGCAATTCATTTAAAAACAATTCAGCCAGAGGGAAAGAAAGCGAGGCAGCTAGGAATAGCGGAAACATACGTGGCAAATTCTTGATAACATTTGAACTTTGATGCTGGGTATTTTGGGCTGCATTGTACTTTACGTCTGAAATATATTGAAAATGATTAAATGGGCTGGGCAGGGTGGCTCATGCTTGTAATCCCAGGATTTTGGGAGGCCAAGGTGGGTGGATCACTTAAGGTCAGGAGTTGGAAATCAGCCTGGCCAACATGGTGAAACCCCGTCTCTACTAAAGTACAAACTTAGCCGGGCATGGTGGTATATGCTGGTAGTCCCAACTACTTGGGAGGCTGAGGCCGGATAATCGTTTCCACCTGGAAGGTGGAGGTTGCAGTGGGCTGAGGTGGAACCACTGCACTCCAACATAGGCAACAGACCAAGACTTCATCTCATAAATAAATAAATAAAAATTAGCAAGGCATAGGTGCTCACTTGTAGTCCTGGCTCCTCAGAAGGCTGAGGCAACAGGTTCACTTGTGCCCAGGAGATGGAGGCTGCAGTGAGCCAAGGTCATGCCACTGCACTCCAGCCTGGGCAACATAGACCATGCCTCAGGAAAAAAAAAAAAGATTAAAGGTTGGAGATTAAGGCTGGGCATGGCTGGGCACGGTGGCTCACTCCTGTAATTCCAGCACTTTGGAAGGCTGAGGAGGGCAGATTGCATGGTGGCACATGCATGTAGTCCTAGCTGCTCAGGAGGCTGAGGCAGGAGAATCACTTGAACCCAGGAGGCGGAGGTTACAGTGAGCTGAGATCAAGTCTGCACTCTAGTCTGGGCAACACAGCGAGACTCCATCTCAAAAAAAAAAAAAAAAAATTAGCTGGGCGTGTTGGTGGGCACTTGTAATTTCAGCTTCTCAGGAATCTGAGGCAGGAAAATCTCAAACCTTGAAAGCAGAGGTTGTAGTGAGTTGAGATTGCGCCACTGCACCTTAGCCTTGACAACAGAGAGAGACTGTTTCAAAATAAAAACAAAAATAAAGCCTGGGCATGATTGCTTACACCTGTAACCCCAGCGTTTTAGGAGGTCAAAACAGGAAGATCGCCTGAGCCCAAGAGTTTGAGACCAACCTGGGCAACATAGCGAGACCTCCATCTCTATTTTAATAAAAAAATTAAAATTTAAAAAAATTAAATACTCTCTAAAAACAGATGAAAAATCCATTTAGGAGGGAGAGCAGGGCCAGGCGCGGTGGCTCACACCGTAATCCTAGCACTTCGGGAGGCCGAGGTGGGTGGATCACCTGAGGTCAGGAGTTCAAGACCAGCCTGGCCATCAGGGTGAAACCGCATCTTTAAAAAAAAAAAGGAGGGAGATCAGAAGATATTCATATTGACATGAAGAAATTCTAGACAAATCCAGAGAACACTAATAAAGTGATGACTACACGTCGGATTGGGAACTGGGTAGATAAGGGTCAGAAATCAGAGTGAGGCTTTTCACTATCACTTTTTAAAGTATAAACTTTATTAGGCCAGACACAGTGGTTCACGCCTGTAATCCCAGCACTTTCAGAGGCCAAGGCAGGCGGATCACCTGAGGTCAGGAGTTCAGGATCAGCCTGACCAACACAGTGAAACCCCATCTCTGCTAAAGCCAAGTATGGTGGTACATGCCTATAATCCCAGCTACTTGGGAGGCTGAGGCAGGAGAATCACTTGAACCTAGAAGGCGGAGGTTGTGGTGAGCCAAGATCATGCCATTGCACTCCAGCCTGGGCAACAAGAACAAAACTTCATCTCAAAAAAATAATAAAAATAAACTTTATTTTTAGAACAGTTTTAGATTTACAGAAAAATTGCAGAGTTTGAAATACTGAGTTCCCAGATACCCCTTTCCCCATCCAGCTTTTCCCATTTTTTAACATCTTACATCAGTATAGTACCTCTTTTACAATTAATGAACCAACGTCTGTACGTTAGTGTCAACTCGGGTCCATACATTTTCTAGATTTGCTTAGTTTTTTTTTTTTTTTTTTTTTTTTTTGAGACGGANTTTTTTTTTTTTTTTTTTTTTTTTTGAGACGGAGTTTCACTCTTGTTACCCAGGCTGGAGTGCAATGGCGCAATCTCGGCTCACCACAACCTCCGCCTCCTAGGTTCAGGCAATTCTCCTGCCTCAGCCTCCTGAGTAGCTGGGATTACAGGCACGGATTTGCTTAGTTTTTAGCTAGTGTCCTTTATCTCAGAACATCACATGATGTTTAGTCGTTGTGTCTCCTTAGGTTCCTCTTGGCTGTGACAGGTTCTCAGCTTTCCTTGTTTTTTTTCTTTC